GTTTAAAAAGACTTATCTGAGTGTTATTAGGAAAGATTGGTGTAGCTTGAATTTAGACATGTATGAAGTTATGAGCCGTGATGAACATTATGTATATTACAGAAAAATACTTTTAAATGGTTTAACAAGGTAGGAAAACACAGGGCTGGTAGTTAACCATATAATGTAACCGCAAACTGATATGAAGGAATAAATAATAGTAGGACTGTGATTAGAATTTATGCAATCTTAGCTTAAAAGAATAGAAATAACCGAATGTAAATTAGTAAGATGGTGTTCGTGAATTTAACCATACGAGTAGGTTGGTGCTGAAATAACCGAACGGAAAAGTGAATGCAGATAATAATGAGCTTAAACATGAATATTTATTCGGTTGTTTCCGTACGAAAATGCATTAAATGATAGCGAAATGAGCCGAACGTTCGTGCGTTTTTTGGCGCGAATGGAGATATTAACGAACAGCGTGTATTCGTGAAAATGCGAAAAGGAGGGAGCCTACCCCTACGTTTTTAGGCCCGAACGGCGGGGAAAAAGCGAACGCTAATTCCCCCGCCTTGCTTACGTGAACGCGCCGGTCTCGTGACCGGAAGTCGGGTACCTCGACCGGAGAGAAACGGAGTGGAAGGGGCCTCGGACGGACGGAGGATTTGCACAGGGCGTCTGGCTGCTGGAAACAGGTACAGTTCTGGCGGGAAGCTGGACCGGAAGTGCTGGACAATCAGCTGAGCGGCAGCGGTGAGTAGGGGCTGGGAGCTTAAGTAGGGGACTTACTCCTCCCACAAATTCAGGCCTAATGGCCTTTCTACATATGTATATATATATATACATACCATAATTAACATATAAATTACACTTATTGCCCTATAGCCTCCAACTTAAATAACCGTCCTTGCCAACGAGCTAACCAGGTGCCTATGCTCCAAAAACTTTACCCACTGGTGTCTCGCTTCCCCCCTCGTCCAAACCAAAAATTCCTATCATCTTTAATGCTCTAACCACCAGCCGGCTTTTTGCTCGGTGGGCACGTCCTATTCGGTAACTTAAAAGTTAACATTACAGAGGATGGGAGGTTGAGACCCACCTTGTCCATCTTCTGACATTCCATCTGCTCCACAACCCTGTTGGCAAGGACACGCTCCCCGCCACAAACCCCGCTGTTTTAAACCTAAAATCAGCGGAGAGCCCCACCAAACCAACCAAGGCCTGTTCCACCACTTCCTTCATGACAAGACGAAAAAAGGTCTAGCCCGATGACTTCCATCACCCAGAAACACAGTAGCTGCCACACAAAAACACCCAGTGGCAAACCCAAATCCCCTTATCCTCAAACACACCTAGAGGCCCTCAAATTTTGCTCCATACGGCAGCGTACCATTCACTGATTATGGGTCCGCTGCCAAAAGATACGTGAAATGACCTCTGGCCAATAGAGTTTATTCTATTTTTTTTTATTTATTATTATATATTTTTTATTTTTTATTTATTTGTTTATTAAATTTTTTAAACTGCCTTTGTTATAACATATGATAAGTACTGTATAACACATCCATAATTTATTGTAACAATCTCTCTCCAAAACGTTAATCAGAAATAACCATAACTTAACATATATATAACTTAACACACAGTGTCATACAGTGAACCCCACACCACTAAAACCTTAAACACGCACCACTACTCTCTTGGGGGCAGACGCCAAACACCACCTTGGTATCCTCCCAAGCTCAACGCCCCCCGGGGGATAACCCGAACATTAGGGACAAGCGGAACAGCTGAACCCGCTCCAGGAGGAGCCAAGTTCATTTCATACTTCCGGTACCAAACCAACAAACCTCTGCTTCAGAAGGCGTACAAACCAATAGCTCACCTCCTGGACGGACACCCGCATGCTAGGGAGTATAACCAGTAAAAATAAATCCAGATATTTTCTGTTTCCCAAGTGCCCCTGGGAATTGTTACTTGTACCTAAAGAACTGGTACCCATTTCTCTACTTCAAAGGCATGAATGGTCGAGCCACTGCCGCTGAGAATTGAACCCGCAACCCCCCCAAGGATTGAACAAATTCTACGAAACCGGCAGTACTTCACTGAGCCATCTCACCATACTTCCTCATCAGATTCGAGCGAAAGACCCAAAGAATCGGGAATGGGAGAGAAAAGATTCCATCCGCATAACCCAAAAGAGGGCCCGTGCATATTGGAGGCAGCTCACCGTTCTCCACAAAGGAAAAGTGCAACAGCCGAACCTCCATAGCCTTCCCGAAAACATCCAACCTTGATTGTCAAATACTTATAGTGATAGGATCCGCAGGGCGCCGAATGGCGGCAAGCAATACCCCATCACCGCATGAACTACTAGGAATCACCAATTGCCCAACGTGCATGGCCCCCAGGAGCGTAGCATCCAGGCGGCCCTGGAAACCAATCCACAGACCCATTCCATCACTCTGCCTGACCGAGTGACCAGATGGCCGCAGGGCAAGGCTTCCCCTCCAGATCCGCCTGTGGGGCGACCGTCTGAAACTCTAACCACTGTGAACGAGAGAGAGCATCCGCCATCACATTGTGAACTCCTGGTACATGCTCTGCCCTACAACACACATAGAGACACAAACATCGCAGTACCAACCCCCCAAGCAAGCGAACCACCGTAGGGGAGGAGGCTGTCAGCCTATTGATGCTGAACAACCCCGCAGTGAAACACTACCCTGTGATCCTAAAAACGTGACCCCCAGATCTCCACCACCACCAAACTGGGTAAAAACGCCAAAAAGGCCAGATTCTTTGTGAGCCTAGAGACATGACAACTGTCCGGCCACACGGCAGCACACCAACTAGGGCCCAGAATGGCCCTAATCCCCACCAAGCCAGCCGCGTCTGTAAGCTAAAGACTTACAAAAGTCACTGGCAAATGCTAACATCCCTGTTAGCGAATCTACAATACGTAAAACACTAAACAAGAATGGATTTCATGGGAGGATACCACAGAGGAAGCCACTGCTGTCCAAACAAAACATTGCTGCACGTTTACAGTTTGCACAAGAGCACCTTGATGTTCCACAGCAGTACTGGCAAAATATTCTGTGGACAAATGAAACCAAAGTTGAGTTGTTTGGAAGAAACACACAACACTATGTGTGGCGAAAAAAAGGCACAGCACACCAATATCAAAACCTCATCCCAACTGTGAAGTATGGTGGTGGGGGCATCATGGTTTGGGGCTGCTTTGCTGCGTCAGGGCCTGGACGGATTGCTATCATCGAAGGAAAAATGAATTCCCAAGTTTATCAAGACATTTTGCAGGAGAACTTAAGGCCATCTTTCTACCAGCTGAAGCTCAACAGAAGATGGGTGTTGCAACAGGACAATGACCCAAAGCATAGAAGTAAACCAAAACAGAATGGCTTAAACAGAAGAAAATACACCTTCTGAAGTGGCCCAGTCAGAGTCCTGACCTCAACCCGATTGAGATGCTGTGGCATGACCTCAAGAAAGCGATTCACACCAGATATCCCAAGAATATTGCTGAACTGAAACAGTTCTGTAAAGAGGAATGGTCAAGAATTACTCCTGACCGTTGTGCACGTCTGATCTGCAACTACGAGAAATGTTTGGTTGAAGTTATTGCTTTCCACCTGCACTGTGAATGTTTACATGGTGTGTTCAATAAAAACATGGCAACATTTCATTCTTTGTGTGTTATTAGTTTAAGCAGACTGTGATTGTCTATTGTTGTGACTTAGATGATGATCAGATCACATTTTATTACCAATTTGTGCAGAAATCTATATCATTCCAAAGGGTTCACATACTTTTTATGTTATATATATGTATTTTTGGGGTGTTTTAGAAATATTGTATGTTTTCCTGTAACTGAGAGATAATTGAGTTATAGTTTTCTCAATTATCTCTCAGAGACAGAGGCTCCTGGGAGGAAAACCCTTGTATTTTTGATGTGGAGACCATGGGCGTCCGCAGGAATTTTTCCAGGGGGGGGCATAATTGTAATGACATCCATGCTTGGTACCTTTTTGACAGTGTCATGAAAGGGAAGGGGCATAGCCATTATCACATAAAGCTAGGGTGAATAGCGTTTTCACAACTATGGTGTCAGGAATATAGGTTTGTATTCCTGACACTATAGCGTTCCTTTAAGCAAATTAAAGGACATTTCTGGTCACCATAACAACTTCACCTAAATGAAAATGCTAAGATGCCTGGAAGCCCCTGGGTGCTCGCTTTCCTTTAAGGGGTTAAATCGCTCTCAAATGGTTTAACCCCAAAGGCTTCCTCCAGCTCGCTCAGTGGTATTTGGCTTCTGAAACAGGGTGTCAGGAAGTGCAGATTGACGTCAGGCATGGGTGCCGCTGATTGGCTAGAGTGGTCAGTTGACGCTCTAAGCCAATCGCTAGTTCCCGGTTCATAAAATATTTTTACTTTTTTATAAATGGGGAGCTACTTATTGGTTTAGAGTGCCAGCTGACCGCTCTAGCCAATCAGCAATGGCACTCTGTGCTTCCTGACACTCAGTAAATAAAAGTGAACACATTAACACCAATATTTTTTTACCTTTGGAGATGAGTAGGTCCAGCGTTTCCCTGCCAGGCCCAGGTACCAAAGCCTTATGATGTGGTGTCCAGAATAAAGTGGAGGGTTCACTTCATTTGTCCTTCCTGCTCCAATCTCCTTTTCCTCTCCTTCATTTGACAGTCTTTTTTTTTCTTCTGACACTGTTTTCTATCCTTGGCCCCTTCTGCTCTTTTACCTTTCTGCTACTTTCTGCTTATTTTGCGTCCTTCTGCTCCTTTCTCATTTTGATCCCTTTCTGCACCTTGCAGACCCTTTCTGCTCCCTTTTCTACTTTACCTTTGTGCTCCTTGCTGTCCCTTTCTGCTCTTTCTCCTACTTTATCTTTGTGCTTCTTTTTGATTCTTTCTGCTCCTTTACCTTTGTGCTCCTTGCTGTCCCTTTGTGCTCCTTCCTGCTCCTTGCAGGCCCTTCCTGCTCATTCTCCTACTTTATGTTTGTGCTCCTTCTGCCCCTTCCAGCTCATTTCTGCCCCTTTCTGCTCCTTCCTGCTCCTTGCAGGCCCTTCCTGCTCATTCTCCTACTTTATGTTTGTACTCCTTCTGCCCCTTCCAGCTCATTTCTGACCCTTTCTGCTCCTTCTACTTTACCTTTGTGCTGCTTTACCTTCCAGCTCCTTGCTGACCCTTCCTGTTCATTTCTTTATATCTATAGGCTGCTGCCCACCCAAAGCTATGGGCTGCTGCCCCCCTCCCCAAATCTATGGGCTGCTGCCCCCCCCACAAATCTATGGGCTGCTGCCCCCAAATCTAAAGGCTACTGCCTTCCTGCTGCCCTCCCCCCCAAATCATGGGCTGCTGCCCCAAATCTATAGGCTGCTGCCCCTCTCCCCAAATCTATGGGCTGCTGCCCCAAATCTAAAGGCTGCTGCCCCCACCCCCAAATCTATGGGCTGCTGCCCCCTAAATCTATGAGCTGCTGCCCCAAATCTAGGCTGCTGCCCTCCTAAATCTATGGGCTGCTGCCCCCAAATCTATGGGCTGCTGCCCCAAATCAATGGGCTGCTGCCCCCCCCAAATCAATGGGCTGCTGCCCCCAAATCTAAAGGCTGCTGCTGCCCTCAAATCTGGCTGCTGCCCCTCCCCAAATCTATGGGCTGCTGCGGGCTGCTGCCCCCCTCCCCAAATCTATGGGCTGCTGCCCCCCTCCCAAATCTATGGGCTGCTGCCCCCCTCCCCAAATCTATGGGCTGCTGCCCCCAAATCTATGGGCTGCTGCCCAAAATCTATGGGCTGCTGCCCCCCCTAAATCTATGGGCTGCTGCCCCCTATCTGCTGCCCCCCAAATCTATAGGCTGCTGCCCCCCTCTCAAACCTTCCCCCCCATGCCCCACTTACCTGATCTGTAGGCTTTCTCTGGCTGCATGTGTTGTTCCCCTGCGGTTTCAATCAGCAGAGAGAAGCAGGGATAAGATGCAGCTTCCTATCCCTGTCTCTCTCCATACACAGCGCCACCTACTGGCCGGCGCCGATATTGCAGTTCATTCTAAATCTCACACGAAAAAAGCAGAACAAGCTGAAAAATCCAGGGGGGGGCAAGTGCCCCCCCTTGCCCCCCCCTGCGGACGCCCATGGTGGAGACCCAATGCTAGGGGTTAGTGCAAAAAAGCTGTGTGTGGCCCAAATAAAATCAGTTGACTCCCAGAACTATGTGTCATCTAGTTGCTGGGGGAAAGGGTCTTGGATTGTTACAGTGCTTCTCAGCTTCGAGGAATAGTGGAATAGCGGAGATACCTAGTCGTGGTTCCGGAGCTCCGCTACAATAATTTTGTTTTTCGACCACCACTGTAATACACTGTATTTCGTCATCTAATTTCTACTCACAACTTGAATTTAATCCATTCATAACACTTAACTCATTTTAAAACATTTAAAAAAAATTCTGAAATCATATTCCGGCTATTTAACATTGTTATTTTTCATTCAATATTAAAAAAAAAAAAAATTACAGATAAATACAAAACATTTTAAAAATGTCTACAAAATTATACTATGTCATTATGGACAGTTATTCTAGCAATTTGGTCACAATGGCGGGAGTTCTTTTAAATTTTCAATAATCCCACTTGCAAATCATGGCCTTGATTTAATATTTTTGGATACGTTTTTTTAAATGCTATAATGTTTTTGGTATTTTTGGACTTAGCAAATGAACTGCCTAGATAACATACATCTTCATCTTTCCTTTTAGAACTATTCTGACACATGATAAAGCTAATCTTCTAGGATTCACAAAGCCAAGAGAGTAAGAATCTACTGTAGACAATCCTTCCATCTCCTAGCCTAGAACCTTACAGTCTTACATGCGCAATAGACAAAGTATCTGTACCGAGACACACACAGTCCCTCCAAAATATTGCTTTCATGATAACACACAGTTCCCCCAAGACATCCAGTCCCACGGGGTTACCCAGTTTCCCTGAAAGACACAGATTCTGCCTGAATTGGTGTATCACTCAAACTATCGTTAAAAAGAAGAAAATCAATCTTGTAATAGTAGAATAAATCAATGCTAAACACAGAAAACCTGGTCAAGATACAAATATTCCTCATTAAGCTCACTCGTTCAATTTTGTGCCCTTTGCTCAGTCACTAGTTACACGAGACATTCAATACATTAGCCATTTTTAAAAAGTAGCTAACCTTTATTTTAGAGTACACTCATATTAAATGGCTTGGTTGGTCTAGAAAACTTTGCTCCATGTATGTTCCTGAGATGTTGGAATCCCACCAGCTTCCACCAAGAACTGTCATAGCTGAGCCTGAAAATGCCTCAGATTTCTTTTGATGAATAGGTAAGTTTATTGAAGCATACAGCAATAGTGTCAATGTAGGAGAGATACAATTGATCTCTGATCACAAAGCTTGCTCTTATCTTGGAGCAGTTTAAAAGCTCATGCAGGAATAAGATGGTCCAAAACAAGATGTAGTCAAGTATGGAGCAACATTGCCCTCACAGTGCTAGAAGGTTTGGGCATTATTCCTGGGTTTTGGCTCAACCCATATTTGAGAGGTTTGACCAAAACGGGTGTCTCTAGGATCCACAGATGGGCTGGAGGGGTAAATAATGGAGATTATATTCTTTTTGGAGGAAGGTGGCGATTGGGAGACATGTACCAGTCCTAGGTGAATAGGTGGTCTGTCACATATGGCATTGATAAGCGTACATAGGATGATGGGCTCAGTCTATCACTCCCAAATATCAATACATTAACTATTTCAGAGTAGTGAGAAAAAAGTATTTCTTCTGCCCGTCAATAGTCAGATAGTGTATCTCAGATCACTTGTCTCCTTAAAATGTTTAAATTTTTTCATAAGCCTTTCAAATAAATTTATATTTTGTATAAACTTTTAAAAGTATTGAATATTTGTTTTTATATTTCAATATTTTAATATTTTTTTTTATATATCGATATTTGTTTTATATATGATATATTATTATATCTCAATATCTCAATATTTTGAAAAAATCTATTTTAAGGCTTATCCAAAAATATATCAAGGCCTTTACTGGAGCAATATCTACGTAGATGAATGTACATGCCTACTGCTTTGTCCCGGAAGCTCCTTTGCTTTGCTCTTCCGTAGTGATAACTGCAGCTCCCCCATATAACTCCGGTAACTGTACTGGAGGAAAAACGTACTTACGGTCAGCCACACCAACCAGGATTAGATGGTCATGGAACCATGGGGAATGACGGATCCATGGAAGGATGAGATGGGGACTACATTTTTAAAAAGTACGAACACAGAAATTTAGTTTTAGTTCCAACAACCCACACACAATCCACCTTTGTAAAATTTACTTTTTTCGTATGATGTGGTTCACAATTGTCTCAACAGACTTTCTTCAGATGCCAGTAAAGATCAACTTTTTACGTGCACGAATACTTTGGCTGCTGTTACTTTAATAAACCCTTCATGGGTCTCACTTGTCCTTTGTTTGTTAACTCATTTGCTGCTGGAGGGGGATATTTTTCATTAGAGGTGGCTCACAGGCTCTAGTAAGAGGCTAGCCAGCGAGCCTGTTCGTAGGTTTCCATTAAACCCACCTTCAACAGAACTTCCATGTTGCATGATTGGTGACCGTGACAATCTAGATAAATAACCAGTACAAGATCCACTGATACGTTCACGTCAGTGTCCTTTAAATCAGCAAATTTAATAAGGGACAAAACAATAAATGAAGCAGGTGAAAAATAATTTGCTCTGATTATGCGACAATGCTTTCATACATTTTGATTTTTCTATAATATTTTATTTATGTAGCTGCAAAATGCAGAACAGCAGCAATTTCTTAAACTGACAAACTAAACAAAAGTCGCATTAGCTTTTCAACTTCAATATAAATGAAAGCCAGTATTGTGCTACTCGAATAATTCAAATATAAGGTTGCAGGGACTGAGGGACAGCCCCAAATCTGTTCTCGAGGTACTTCCTCATTCCTTTTCCTTCCTTATTCTGATTTCACTTGTTTTGAGACATTAGAACACGGATTACACAACGTTGAGTGATGGAATCTGTACAGACATTCATCCTGATTCTCATTTTGGCTCTTGGCCCTGGGACACAATCCGAAAACCCAGGGTTTGTGGTGAGGATCACACAGAAAGGGTTGGACTATGGTATGTTTTATATTCCATTTATTACTATTGTTTAAGTATGCTGTATCATTCTAGGAGTTGATAGTACTATCCTGTTCTGCCTTACTTTGTGTAATTATTTTTTATTAGTCAGCATAATGGCATGTTTAAACCGGCATAGATTCTATTTGAAATTTATTTTACTTTTTTTTTAAATTATTTTAAAAATAAGATCTGATAATAATAACCCAGAATTCCTTAAGTGCTTACAAGATAAGGACGGACTTAGATGTGTATATATATGCTTTGCTAGCCTCTTTGGCCAAAATGATAGAGACTATTACATAGGAGAGTAGATACATTATTGTCCTGGCGTAAAAACATAACCATTGATAGCCAATTAAATTAAGATTAGGAATTGGTAGGGTAGAGGAACATATTGCCATTAGATGCCCAGATTTCTATGTAACAGACAATTCATAGAAATTCCACGAACAAAAGTTCAATGTATTATATACACATTCCTTTAAACATAACATGCCAAGTTAAAAATTAGAAAACTAAATTACTGGTATTACTAAAAAAACGAATACCAGCCTATTATTTAACTAGGGGGTTGGGGGGTGTACATTTACCTTTCTCCTGGGGCGTGATTTAATTTTTTCCAACTTAATATGGCACTATATTTAAATCTTAGAAGTATGAACGGGTAAGTTTACCTTGCAAAGAATCAAATAGAAAGAGGGCGAATTTAGCAAATGATATGATGTGAGCAGCCCTTGATATGACACACTGATAGATTGATAGATATTTTACTATATTATATAGTTGTTAGTTAATACAGACACCGTGCAGTGTGCTGGTCAAAAATTTTAATCAGAATAAAATAGAAATCTCTTGCTTTGGGCCGTAAAGGAATGCAAAGATGTATAGCCACAAGCATTACTGCTTTGCTGCTTCTTAGAGAGAAGACAGGGAGCGTGCAGGTAAGAAACTCACTCTAAAGACCAGAATTAAATGTCGTTTTAACCCCTTAAGGACCAAACGTCTGGAATAAAAGGGAATCATGACATGTCACACATGTCATGTGTCCTTAAGGGGTTAATATAACATTTTTAAGACACAGATTGTTGATGGTTCCAGACATTGGGCAGTTAGCTCTGAATTCAACCATGGTTATTGGTTTAACAAAATATGGAAGTAAAAACAAAACGGTTTGGTCTCTTATCAAACTTCACTAAAAGTAAAGGCATCTATTAGCAAAAATGGTTAAAATACAGAACTTCTCTTACTTTCACTTCTTCAAATTTTTCCAAACAAAGAATTTTAGAGGGACACATGGAATTTCAGAGGCAGGACACATACAGCTGTACAATACTTAGAAAGTACTATCACTAATTTCTAATAAAATGCCTGATTAACTTAATAATAATCTCCTCTCTAGTGTGCCAGCATCACCATTGTATAAAGTTCATGGGTGTTACAATAGTGTAACAAATACCTCCAACTCCCACTTTCCACCTGCCCTATCATTCCGTTCATATGCCCTTCTAGCAAGCTCTAACATTTGCTATAGGAGTAATCATAGCAACTACAGTACATGCTCTGTAGTTACTGTGACAAAGAAGCAGACTTCTGCCTGTAAAAGGGCTCTTCAGGTATCACTGCCGTAAAACTGTCATCTTAGTCGTCTACCAAGAATACACTGACAGCTGAGGGGTGGACTAAATTTATAACAGTTTTTTAAAATATTTTTTTTACTCAATGGGATATTTTATAAATACTAGAATATGAATGTATTGCATGAACATACAGCATTGTCATCTCACAGATATTGTTTCCATTTCATTCTACAGCCAGGCAGCAAGGGATGATTGCTCTTCAGAAGGAACTATGGAAAATTCAACTGCCTGACTTTTCGGGATCATATCACGTTGATGTCATTGGAAATGTGCATTATAGCTTTCACAGGTGAGCAAAACCAGGTAGATTAAGATTCTAATCCAGTAACAGATCAGAATCTTGAGTAACCGTCTGCAGAATTACTAAGTGAGTTTGACAATTTCAGGATTCTTTATTTTAAACTACAGAGTACATAAATTCACAGTTAGGTATATGGCCTGTTAGATAGATAGGTTTTTAAGGGGTGAATGGCTACCAATCCAATTCCATCATCACCCAGACACAATGGGATCATATTTATTGTATTTATCTATAAGACGTATTGCTGACAGTTTCTTAAATATGGAATGAACAAGGTTTAAAAGCAAAGAAGATCTATATAGAAGGTGGGTTAGACAGATTGTCTCCAAGAACATCACAAAATATGTTTTTTTTATCAGTGACTAAACTATTTAAATCAATGGATCATCCAACCAATGTTCTATCTAAAAAGTCTGTGTCATTAGATTATATCATGTGTTTAATATGTTATCACTTATGTAGATATAGTTACAAATAAATGTATTATAATAATAAGTCAACTATATCTATCTTTGGGGAAATCCCCAACACAATGTCTGTACGTCATTTTCTGATATTAACAAATATATTCTCCTCTTACAGTCTGGTTATCCGCAATGTCCAGCTTCCTGGCTCACAAGTAAGCCTTCTCCCTAATGTTGGCCTAAAAGTGACAATCTCTGGAGCCTTCATCCAGCTGGGGGGACAGTGGAAAGTACGCTATGCTTTTATGTAAGAAAATTATACCTTCACTCATTAGATGTGACAATGTGAAACATCTACCTATCTGAATGCTTTTACCTATGCATAATTAAGAGGAAAACACCCCAAAAACCTTATTTCTGATATCTCCTGTACATGGCCATTCGTTAATCTCAATTTATCAATAGCTCAAACTCGGGCAAAAAATCTAAGCAAAAATAGCTTAGACATCATAATCTATTATGAAGATTATCGGATTTCTGAGTTTGGGCCATCAAAGTGCTAAAATATCAGAGTAACTGTTTATATTTATATCCATTGATCAGTCCTGATAGGGTATCACCATCTCATTATGCAAACAGAAGGTTCCATCCCTGCCCAAGTGTGTACAATGTATTCCTTAACCTAAAGTGACCATAGGCACATAGAAATAAAACTCATCTATTAATATCACTTATTTGCTGCAAAACCATATCTGGTGCTTCTACTGTGATGTCTTCAGAAACCAGGAACTAGCTGAGATCTCTCACCCAATCCTGGTTTGCCCACTGATACTACAAGTAATGTGCAATGCAATTCACCCTTGCTGTACAGTTTTATGAGATATACAGAGCCACCATTGAAACAGAGGCTTCCTTTTGTGACTGTCTCCCAATCATTTTCTTTCTGGATTTCTGGTTCTGGAGAGAACTTATGGATGGGACTGATTTGCCTATTGAAAGATATCACCTATAATGTCTCGAATAAGCTACAAACCATATGAGACACTCCCAAGCAGGAACTAACCTTGATGCAAACTATAAAGCATTGCCCTTTTCATGTGTCACCTAGACTCCATTGTTCAATGTTTACTGAATATACGAACTGATGGGTGCTAGACTTTTATCCCAATAATAATAATGTTACATTTGTGTACTGAAAATATAAATATATTGTGTGGCACTACTGCAATGTATATTTGTTTTGTGTCTGAAAGCTGTTTTCCCTTAAATGATGCCACCTTTATGAATAATTATAGATCCAATGATGGAGATTTTGATCTGAAGGTGGAAGGAATCAGCATTTCCGTGGGACTGAGTTTGGGGAGTGACGCAATCGGGAGACCCACAGTTAGCCCTTCTGACTGCAGCTGCCACATTGCAGACATTGACGTGCATTTCTCTGGATCATTTGGGTAAGTCCATAAAAGGTCTTTGAGGAGCCTTTTGGAACTTCCCGCAAATCAGTGCAGTGCTGCGTTGAGGCAAGTGCAAACTCTTCTGATCCATGGGGAAAGTTTATACATTTTTTAAATCTATGGTGCGAACTGATTTATCTGAACCACTCAAAACTGCAACTGCAGACCCTTCACATATTATAGGGCGCTTCTGAACTTTCCACTAATTGTGTAGTGAGACCAAGTAGGATTTTATACAGAATGCATTCCTTGGGTATGTGACCCCAGGGCGGACACTGCATGTGAGAGGAGAGGTGGGAACATAAATCACCCCGTGTGTATCTATCCTATCACACACAGTGTTTGTGCTGAAGGCACCGCCATGAGGATTTCACATATTGTTCAACCTCCCTACCAGTCAAAACAAAGTAGAAGGAGAGATTAGGAGAGACAATAAAAGAGAAGGTGGAATGAAGAGAGATGGAATCAAAGATGTGCAGTTTAGATTTCAGAGACATGTTAACAATGAGGGAGAGACACATATTGGAGAATATAGGGAAAGCATGGTTAAGAGGCAGAGCTGGAGAAGGGAAGTTGGGGCAGAATGACAAATGTGACAATGTGAAATGGAGATAGACACTTGTGCAGAGTGGATTGTAGGGGTACAAGTGGGGAGATACAGAACCACACATACATACAAGGACACTAGCATATTACATACTGATACAACACTTACAAATGTTGACATATACATATACAGACAGTGTACACATACAGAAACACAAACAACTCACGGAAAAAACTCTGACACACAATGACATTGCACACACAACACACAGTTATTCCACACAGGGAGAAATTCACATATGTTCAAAATAGTCCTACATGTAGGAACCGTCTTAACAAAGTATCTCTATGAGAGATTGCTGTATGTAGTAAGTCATAATATGTACATGAAAGACTGGAGTCCAGTGCCCATAGATTTTAGTCCAACATTTGAAGTACGTTTTATCCAATGTTCTATGCAGATGGCAAACAAACTAAAGGGATAAGTCAATATGTAGACAGGAAGAAAGTAAAATCATTGGATTTAGAAAAACAAAGAAAAATGTTTAGAACTTGTGACTGGAGAAGCCTCAGAGTTATGGAGACAATATTTTATATGTCTAATATAAATGCATTAAAAGATATGTGATAATTGTTTCTGTTTCTGTTACAGATGGCTCATAAACCTATTTCATGACAGCATAGAATCCGGCCTACGAAGTGCACTAGAGGACAAGGTATAATTTGCAGATGCAGGTTTGACGTGTAATAATCAGATTCAGTACATGTAAAATGATGAGCATGCACGCATCTCTCTTCTTTTCTCATTTTGTGTTTCAACTCCAAAACATTTAAAAAAAATAAAAATCTTGCCAAAGTTGAAGCAGTTTCCTTCCTGAAATCTAGTGAATTGGGATTGGAGTAGTGTGACAAAACACACATACACACACTAGTGCACAAACGCACACATCTAAAAAAAAAAAAAAATGAAAAAATATTGATTCACAAAATATGATTTCATGGTTTTAAACTACTGTCTTTTATTCTTACAGATTTGTCCAAGTGTAATTGACTCTATTAATAGTCAACTCGAACCTCTTCTTCAGACCCTTCCAGGTAAAGTAATGTATCTAATAGTAAAGTGAGTATATAATCACCCGCTTCCCAACGACAAATACAAAACAAAAAATAGCTTACAATAGTGTGGAGATTAGACACTGACCTCGTGTTAGAAGACGATTCAGTGGTGAAGACCCTTGTATAGATTTAGATGTGTTTTTATACGATAGACCATAATGTAATGGACTTTAATTTAGAAACCTCTGCTTTAACCTGAATCTTTCTGGCAGTGCTGAGGAGCCCCAACGACTGACAAACACGCAGGCGGTAGGTTCTAAGAGACTGCCAAAAAAGTTAATGGCATTATTTTCTCTCTTTTAAAAGCTCGTGATTTCTCAGTTGTTGCTGCGTAGTCAAAAATGTGTTTGCTGGAATAACAGAAAGTACTGGCAATGTCCTTGAATTGCTAAAGCAGCCAGTTAGTTAGTAAAGTATAAAACAAAGGAGGGGACTTTCGCTTAAAAATGTAAATTCCATCACCTCGTTTACCATAGCACTGCCACAACAACAAACATTAACTGCAGGGCTAAATGTTACCATTCCTCGGATTTATCCATGTCTCATTATGTATCACCAAAGCAGATAGTTTTTTTCCCATTCTCCATATATGCTACTTATGCCCCTTGTCCAAAAATCTCCTGTGGATTTTGTTTTCCTAGTACGAACGATGCAAGATTATTATCAATGTTTCTAACAGAGAATAAGTAATTATTTTTTTGTCTTTATATTTATTTATATTTTACAGTAACTGCAAAAATTGACAAGGTAGCAGCTATTGATTATTCCCTAATGGGACGTCCGACTGTGACTGCTGACTATGTAGATGCTCAACTGAAGGTATGCTATCTGAGTTAGAATCTTCAACATTTAAAGCCTATGCAGCAGCGTGCTAATGTAATGAGAATCCATGGGAACTCTTGCAGTAAAGGAACTAGCACTGCTTACAATATAGGGACAGCCCTACAGAGCACTTGCCATTGTAACATTTCAGATAAACAAATTCAGAAACGTAGCCTATTTAGGCCTCGAGGCCTAATCAAGGCCTTAGTAACATTCTTTAATTTAGACCTTAATTTAATATTTTTGGATAGAAGCATAGAAACATAGATGTGACGGCAGATAAGAACCCTTTGGCCCATCTAGCCCAATTTTCTAAATACTTTCATTAGTCCCTGGCCTTATCTTCTCTCTAGGATATCCTTATCCTTTTCTCAACACATGCTTAAACTCCTTCACTGTGTTAACCTCTACAACTTCAGCTGGAAGGCTATTCCATGCATCCACTACCCTCTCAGTAAAGTAATACTTCCTGATATTATTTTTAAACCTTTGCCCCTCTAATTTGACTATGTCCTCTTGTTGTGGTATTTTTTCTTCTTTTAAATATAGTCTCCTCCTTTACTGTGTTGATTCCCTTTATGTATTTAAATGTTTCTATCATATCCCCCCTGTCTCGGCTTTCCTTCAAGCCATACATAAAGTTTTCAAATGATTTAATATTTTGGGGTAAACATTTTTTTTCCCCTCAAAATATTAAAATATCAAAATTAAAATTATAGGTATATCATATCTTGAAAAAGATCAATGTATATAAGGTCTGTTAATGTCATACACAGTAAATATATATAGAGCAATGTTGTGTATAGAAGCACAGGCCCTATCAGTAACCTCACTTTGTATTTACAGGGAGAATTTTTCGAGCTCTCTCATCGTTCTACGCCTCCCTTCTCTCCACCACCTCTGTCCTTGCCTGATGACCACGATCTCATGGTTTACTTTGGAGCCTCTGAATATCTCTTCAACTCAGCTGGATTTGTGTATCAGTCTGCTGGAGCCCTTGTCTTCAATGTCACCGACGATATGGTAAGAAGGATGCATTAAAGAGGATGTTTGGCGTAGAAGGGAGGTTGTTATTTAGCTCTAAAGAATGGCATATAAATTAGCTCATGTTTTTAATAACCTTATTAAATCTACAGTTTTAAAACACAAGTAAGGAACCGGACCTAGTAATTTTGATAAATAGATTGAAGAAGGAACATAAGCCTTCGTTTGATATTTTTGGATAAATATTAAACTGAGGCCATAGTAGTTGTATAATGTGTCAGAGTCTACTCTTTCTCACTCAAGATTCCAGGTAATGGGTCTCTGAACGTCTCCACCGTCTCCTCCATAGATGGTACTTTTCATTACCACCAATGGAGACCTCTTCTATCTAGTGTCCTTGATTGGCACACTTTCTCTTTTAATTTTTGCACATTGTTATTGTTAAAGGATCACTATAGTGCCAGGAAAACATACTCGTTTTCCTGGCACTATAGTGCCCTGAGGGTGCCCCCACCCTCAGGGACCCCCTCCAGCCCGGCTCTGGAAAGGGGAAAGGGGTTAAAACTTACCTTTTTCCAGCGCTGAGCGGAGAGCTCTCTGCCTCCTCTCCTCCTCCGTTACGCCCCGCCGGCTGAATGCGCAGGCGCGGCAAGAGCTGCGCGCGCATTCAGCCGGTCTCATAGGAAAGCATTTACAATGCTTTCCTATGGACGCTGGCGTGCTCTCACTGTGAAAATCACAGTGAGAAGCACGCAAGCGCCTCTAGTGGCTGTCAATGAGACAGCCACTAGAGGGATTAGGGGGAAGGCTTAACCCATTAATAAACATAGCAGTTTCTCTGAAACTGCTATGTTTATTAAAAAATGGGTTAACCCTAGAAGGACCAGGCACCCAGACCACTTCATTAAGCTGAAGTGGTCTGGGTGTCTAGAGTGGTCCTTTAAGAATTTTAAAGTATATAATTATCAAACATTTCATGTTGCTTTTTTTTTTAAATGTAGATACCCAAGGACTTTTCTATAAGACTCAACACGTCTGCGTTTGGGGCACTGATACCACAGGTAAGTCATTAATTCTATTGTCAAGTAGTAAGTATGTAAATATTATAACAATATGATTGTATGTGTTCTCCTTCTTTCCCTATATACTGATTTTATATCATAGTAAGACAGCTCGAGTTGTTGGGTAGCTGCATCTAAGTTATTATTAAGCATATCTTTTTACAGCTATATAATTCTTACCTCCCTGCTATCTTTTGATTGCACTGTACACCTGAAGCAGATGTTCAGACATTAATGGGAATCTGTTGGGTAAAATGACAATATGTCCCCATAGCTTTAAAATTTCCAAAAATAATTTTTTGTTTTTACTTAATTGAAGCTTCATAATGTTATTAAGTACACTCACGTCATTCCAAATGGTTCCAGCGTCACCAAAAGTCCGCCTTTACAGGCGTCAATGGTATCTTTAGTACTGCCAAGCGGTGAGAAGCTTTGGATGGCTTCCCTACACCTGGCACAACCCCAACAGATTACATTGATTTGTTAGCTTCATCATCAGCACGTCAGCCCACTGAATGGAGTGTCATCAGAAATTACTTTGTTCATATTTTCTGTCATAACCTGGCTTGAGAAGTGAAGGAACCGTGCAAAGTGCAGTGGAGTTCTGGAAAAAGACTGCGCTGCGCTTAGAACTTACAAACACGTCATTTGCCAGGTCTCCACGCAGGGTGCCGGGAGAAGTGATGATGCTTGAGCCGCACATGTGAGATTCATAAACCCAATTGAGAACAGCCTTTTCGGTGTGTTTTGATGCAGCCAGACCTCAGCATTGAATGAATGCGGAGGGTCTGACTCTGACTGCTGAAAGGGGTGAGGGGGAGGGAGCAATCTTTTAAATGAAATATTGACAAATCTATATATTTGCTAGCAATTTTGCCAGCACAATATATAGATGAAATTTAACAAAAAATTTAATAAAGTTTAGTGAGATTGGGGCACATCAGTTTCCCTTTAAATACTTGTTATATTGACTAATTTGTCTGATTCAACTTTTTAATAATTTAATTTATTCACAGATCTCCAAGATGTATCCTGACATGCTTATGAAACTGCAGATTTCATCGCCCACATCTCCATCACTGAATATAGTGCCGGGAAACCTAACCATCTCACCTGTATTGCATATACAGGCATATGCCATTCTACCCAACTCCTCTTTAGTACCCCTATTTCTTCTAGAATTGGTTAGTGGAATTATTTTATTGGTATTGCATATATGAAAGAAATGCTTGGGTAGAAAATTCTCATATCATTTCTATTAATTGGGAAAATAGCAGTATTTACAGTACTGCAATAGAAACATTTAGTCATTACCAAATTTCCTAATTTTTGCTAATGTTATATGAATATGTTCTGTATATCTCTGAATTTTGTGACCAATAACCATCCTTTTTACTGTGTCTCATCTCCAGACAACACAAGCTCTGGTAAAGGTTGCAATGAATGTAGGTCGAATTCAAGGTCACCTGGAACTCTCCAAGTAAGTAGAGTAGATCTAAATAGAGATATAGAGTAGATATAAATGCATTAACAAGCATTTAGAGATTATACCTCAAACTTGTCATTTTCTTCATTCAATTGGAAAACAGTCCTGTTAAGATGATAGATGTTCATTTAGTTGTTTTTTTCCACTTAAATGTCTTTATTTTGTATTCAATCACATTTCAATAATAGTTTGACAGATACATTTTTCTTCTACATCTTACAACATGAAGAAAAAAAGTCTGTCTCTATAACTAGCTCATAGAAACCTAATCAATGCCAATATGTTTTAGATACTTTATTTCCATGATGGTTACTCCACCCTTATGCATGACCACACCTGGGAATTTGCATTGTTTTTTCATTTAGAGGTCACCTTGTCTCACCTTCAATGGGAGTAGTAAGTGAACAAAGCCTCCCAACAAGAGGGCAACTGGGTGGGTGTTGGTCCAGCCTTTAAATGTACAATATTTCCAGGTTTAGTGTAGGATGTGGCCTTTACCGGCAGTCACCCCCACTACCTTTAGGAAAAACTATAATTATTAGACTTGTGCAAAAATGTATCCAAATCAAATTCCTTTTAATCCACATTGGAGTGAACCAATTTGCCTAGGATTTACTTGGCGGGTGGGGGTCTAATTCATTGAGCATGACTCGATGAGTAAATCCAAGATGGATAAATTTTTCCAGGTGTGGATTAAAAAGAATTTGGTTTGGATGAACTGGCTGAAAGTCTAGTAATTACCCTTCAAACGTGCAGAGATCCAGAACCTAATCTCAAGAGGGGTACTGGTAGTGGGCTGTAGTGAGGAGATAGGGACTGTAGTGGATCCCACATTATTCTGTAAACAAAAAGTTTTAAACAAATATTCTTTAAAGATCTGAAGCCTCAGTTTGTTACAGATAAGTGCAGTGTAAGTTGACACCAGGACACATTCTATTTTAAAACAGAATCCTGCTTGTCTACAATGGTTTGGATAGTGTTCGGATCAGGCGTTTCCCAGAGATTGCTGGCACAGAGCAAAATGACAAATACGTGTTAACCTGTCTGTAGATGTTTGTTTGTTGATTTTCATTTACATCCTACTCAAGAACATTCCCAGCCCAGCTGATTGTTACTGTATACGTTTTGCGAGGGGCATGTGATTAGTTGGCTCAGGCATGGCTGGGAGGGCGGAAGACAATCATGTGCCAATAACCTGTCATCTCAGTATCTTATATAATATAAATCAATTCCTGTGTGCAATATTTCCAATAATTTATTAAAAGTCTATTATAATTATAAAGTATATTTTATTCTGAACAATGAACTCTCTTTAACTTCCATTGATTCTTGCATGTAGAATACAGATAGAACTTAAACATTCCGATGTTGGGCCTTTCTCGGTAAGTACTCAGTGACTAACAAGGCAAAATAGAATTTAAAGATTTTTATAGTTTACATGCCATTTTACATTTTACCGTTTACTAATCCTACTTTCTCTCTGCTCAGAACTGCAGCTTCATTGATACCTTTGTTTCCGCATTTAAGAACCTTATTTTTTTTTATCACATTAAAAAAAAAATCTTTATTTAAGACACTTTTTCGCAAAAGACAAGGTGCGCATAATACGTCTTATTGTCATAACGTATGTAATAAGTAGATAAACATAGAAAGACAGATACATCATAAACATTCTCAGTTGTTTAAGAAAAAAATAATTTTGACCCTTGTTATTCTGTCTGTTTGTTTCAATTTAATGGGACCCTCCAAGCTCTATAACTGCTACAGTTTACTTTATTGGTTATGGTACAAGCAGTATTTAGGTACAATTGTTTTTTTGTATTTTTTTTATGGTCAACCATTTTTCAGCATTATAGGTAACCTTTGATGGCTGTGAGTGCTAGTACTTGCTTCCCATAGTTTTTGGTCAAGCTGCTCTTAAAGAGTAGGCTAGAAAATAGAGGGACAGTACTGAAACACTCCTTGCACCATAATCACAACAATAAGGTGTAGTGGTTATAGTGCATAGAGCATTCTTTTACACTTAATTTTGCATATTATAATGCACATTATAGTAATAATCATGTTTCTAATCAGGTAGATTTAATTGACCATGACTTACATTTAACAAAATTGTGTCCTTTATATGATTATTTTGCATACAGAAAGTTCTCTGTAATAATTTTATTCTAGGTATCGTTACTGAATATGGCTGTAAACTATTATGTCTCCAACATACTGCTTCCTCGGGTCAACGGTAAGTGACAGAATATTAATATGTCCAGCAATATGTAACTAAATTTACACTAACACAACAGAAGTTTCTTAAGCAAATAGAAAGCGGGAGATGTTATATACTTGCCAATGCTTGAGAGTTCCTTTAATTAATTGACTTGGGTCTTTGTTTAATATTGTTGGATAATCATTTCAGCTAATCTAATATTTTTGGATAAACTTTTAAAATCCTTTTATATTTTGACAAATAATTTAATATTTTGATGTTTTCAAATCATATATTCATATAAACAATATATATATTTTTTATATTTTCATATTTAAAGAAAAATATTTTAAAAGTTTATCCAAAAATATTGAGTAAAAACCAATGTTTATGACTTCAGAAACATTGTTTTATACACTGATCAACCACAACATTAAAACCACTGACAGATGAAGGGAGTAATATTGATTACATAGATACAATGACACCTGTCACGGGGTGGAATATGTTAGGCAGCAAGTGAACAGTAGGTGCTTGAATTTCATGTGTTGGAAGCAGTAAAAATTGGCAAACGAAAAGTTATGAGTGACTTTGGCAAGGGCCAAATAGTGTTGGCTAGGGTCAGAGCATCTCCAAAATGGCAAGTCTTGTGGGGTGTTCTTGGTATGCGAGGGTTACCTACCAACAGAGGTGCAAGGAAAGGCAACCATCACAGTTGTGTGCACATGAGGGAGTGAAGGCTAGCCTGTCTGATATGATCACATAGAAGAGCACTTAATTGCTGGCCATGATAGAAAGGTGTCAGAACACACAGCGCATCACAGTTTGTTGTGTATGGGACTGTGTAGCCACAGACCAGTCAGAGTGCCCATGATGACCTCTGTCCACTGCTGAAAGTACCTTTAATTGGGACATGTGCATTAGAACTGGACCATGGAGCAATGGAAGAACATGGCCTGGTCTGATGTATCACATTTTCTTTTAGATCAGGGGGATGGCCGGGTGCCTGTGAGTCATTTACCTGTGGAAGAAATGGCAGCAGGATGCACTATGGGAAGAAGGCAGTGTTATGCTCTGGGGAATGTTCTGCTGGGAAACCTTGGGTCCTGACATTCATATGGATGTGTTAGTTAGACAAGTACACCTACTTAGAGATATTGCAGACCACGTACATCCCTTCATGACAGGATAATGCACCCTGTCACACTGCAAAATAGTTATGGAATGGTTTGAGGAACATGACAAATTGTTCAAGGTGTTGCCTTGACTTCCAAATTCTCCAGATCTCAAACCATCTGAGCATTTTTGGGATGTGCTGGAGCAACAGATGTAACATGGAGGCCCCACCTCGCAACTTGCAGGACTTAAAGGATCTGCTGCTAATGTATTGGTGCCAGATACCACATGACACATTCAGATGTCTTGTGGAGTCCATGCCTCAATGCATCAGAGCTGTTTTGGCTATACAAGAGGACCTACAGAAGTTGGTTTTAATGTTGTGGCTGATCACTGTACAGAGCCCTTTTAAAAGTGTCCGTGTGCTGTTCTGTAATACTTTGAGATAACACTGGTTAGGGCTTAGTTTACAAATATCAGGACAAAACAATATAGACTATTGTCATGAATAAATGATGAATGACTTCAACATTCACTGTATCAAACCATGAGTATCAAATTAACTTCACCAGAGCATTAAAATAAATGACGCAAAATAAAAGATTTTAGCTGGGCCTCTTGTACAGACAAGTAGGTTATTATAAAGACAACTATCAATTATAATGTTTGCCAACTATTTACTGAATTCGGAGTGGATTGAAATATAATTTCCGTGTACAATGACCATATAATTATTTAAACTAACCCTTATTTATGTTTGTAATCAAATAAAACCAACCAAATGCTGGTATTTTGAACTACCCAATGCAGCTGTTCATTTAGAACTTTCATGAACATCTAAAAATGTTTTTACTTATAAATTAAAGGGACATTATAGTCACCTGAACAACTTTAGCTTAATGAAGCAGTTTTGGTGTATAGAACATGCCCCTGCAGCCTCACTGCTCAATCCTCTGCCATTTAGGAGTTAAATCCCTTTGTTTATGAACCCTAGTCACACCTCCCTGCATGTGACTTGCACAGCCTTCCATAAACACTTCCTGTAAAGAGAGCCCTATTTAGGCTTTCTTTATTGCAAGTTCTGTTTAATTAAGATTTTCTTATCCCCTGCTATGTTAATAGCTTGCTAGACCCTGCAAGAGCCTCCTGTATGTGATTAAAGTTCAATTTAGAGATTGAGATACAAATATTTAAGGTAAATTACATCTGTTTGAAAGTGAAACCAGTTTTTTTTTCATGCAGGCTCTGTCAATCACAGCCAGGGGAGGTGTGGCTAGGGCTGCATAAACAGAAACAAAGTGATTTAACTCCTAAATGACAGTGAATTGAGCAGTGAAATTGCAGGGGAATGATCTACACACTAAAACTGCTTTATTTAGCTAAAGTAATATAGGTGACTATAGTGTTCCTTTAATATATTTCAATCCAGCATATCGGATGGAATTGCATGACAGTTTTCAAAGTGCTCACAATCACATTATGAGGGTTACAGACCGTCAAGGACATGAGTGATTCTAATTGGTGACAAGTGTGTAATTAACCTATAATTTTCCGTATAGACTTTGAAGTTTGTTTTTTATTTGAGATAGTTAAAAAAACAAAACAAAAATTAGTTGACATGTTTATTTGTTATGTTGGGCTATATGGTCACAGTGCTCACATGTGCTTCGATTGGGTTAAGTGACTAATAAGATATCGATAGTTAATGATTGCACACACTTTTAGTTAGAAATAGATGAAACATTAAATAAAGAAAGAGAGTAGGAATGGGGAAGAGAAGAGGAAGCGGTTGGGAAAAAGTAAGTATGGCGTGACTGCTCCTTTTCATGATGTAGGAGATATCTTAAAGGGACACTAGTCACCCAGACCACTTTAGCTCAATGAAATGATCATGGTGCCAGGTCCCTCAGGTTTTAACCCTTCAGATGTACAATCAGCAATTTCAGAGAAACTGCTATGTTTACATTGCAGGGTTAATCCAACCTCTAGTGGCTGTCTTCCTGACAGCCGCTGGAGGCGCTTCTGCGATGTTGGAAAATTGCATCCAGCGTGCAGAACATCCATAGGAAAGCATTGAGAATTATGCTCTTTGCTGCTCCACTCGGGAGTTGACGTCGACGGGGGAGGAGAGGTCACCAGCACCGAGGGAGCCCGGTGCTGGATTACAGTAAGTAGCTGAAGGGGTTTTAACCCCTTCAGCCCAGCGGCTTATAACTAAGGGTTATATAGTGTCAGAAAAACAAGTTTGTTTTCCTGACACTATAGTGATCCTTTAATAATAAGTACAATTTGCTGGGTTGGACTGGACATCCACTGTATTTACATTATTCTGTACAATTAATAAAGCATTTTCTAATACTTCCACTTGACTGTTTTTTCTTGTTTTACACTAAATTTGTTACCTGAAATAAATATTAGCAAATTGTTATAATCATATATTATATATACAGAAACTACACTCAATGATATCACTCTTCCTCCTACAGATATTCTTCAAAAGGGTTACCCGTTTCCTCTCCTAGATCACATACAGCTCTCGGATGTTGTCATAAAGCCCTATCAGGTTAGTTATATCCCGTGCTAATACTGAGAAATACTATATTTACAATACAGTAAGATCATCAGTCAAGCGCTTTCCTGTGTAACTTATTGCTACTTTGTAAATAATGATAATATTAATTATTGAAAACTTTATGTATTGATCCATCCAATCTTTCTTTCAGCACTTCCTCCTGTTTGGAGCAAATGTTCACTATGGATAAACGGAGAAGAGGAGTTTGCCTGCGGAAGAGCACTGACTTTCTGTTCACTGGGCCCTTAAAACCCTAAATTCTCTGAATTTTAACTGAAAATGGTGGGCTAGATCTTCTCCCATGTTTTTAGCCCTTTCTCCGCAGGCTGTGATATGTTGTTGAAGACAGCTCCTTCATATGCTACAATACTGACTGCCAGCATGGAGCTCCCTGACAAAACCTACCACCTCTATGCCCATTATTCATCTAAGTCAAGGGCGGGAAACCTTTGGCACTCCGGATGCTGTGGACTACATCTCCCATAACCCTCTTACAGTCATAATGCTGGCAAAGCATTATGGGAAATATAGTCCACACCATCTGGAGTGCTGAAGGTTGCCTATCCCTGATTTATGTACATAATGACACTGAATTCCAAACTACACAAATGGTCTGAAGACTGCCAGAATCACAGAAAGGTTTTAGCATTTTGTTTTTCCAACACAGACGAACAACATTCTCTAATTTGTTTTTAAATCTATTGCACTGAAGAATCTCTGACTTATTCAGGGCAAATTATTCCATAAGTCACAATATGTATTTTATAGATTGATTGTAACATAGGTTCATATATACAAAAGAAATATGTTGGGAGAAAGTTCTAAATAAAGAGCATATAGCAGTAATATATTATATCTATAGTGACTGTTTAAGGGACTCAATCCGTTTTCCTGGCACTGCAGGTCCCCTCTCCCTCCCACCTCCCATCCCCGGTTGCTGAAGGAGTGAAAACCCCTTCAGTGACTTACCAGAGGCAGCGACGATGTCCCTTGTCGCTGCTTCTTCCTCCGCCCACGCTCCTCCCTGTCACCTCGTCAGCTGGCACGGGAGACTGATCCCGCCCGTGGAGACATAATGCGCATGCGCGGCAATGCCGCGCATGCGCATTATACCTCTAGATAGGAAAGCATTGAAAATGCATGACGCTGGAGGTCCTCACACAGCGTGAGGATGTCCAGCGACGCTATAGCACAGAAAACCTGTGCTATAGACCAGGAAGTGCCCTCTGGTGGCTGTCTAGTAGACGGCCACTAGAGGAGGAGTTAACCCTTCAAGGTAAATATTGCAGTTTATGGAAACTGCAATAATTACAGCTGCAGGGTTAAGGGTAGTGGGAGTTGGCACCCAGACCACTCCAATGGGCAGAAGTGGTCTGGGTGCCTGGAGTGTCCCTTTAACCAAAATTCCTCTTTCTAATGGAAGAAACAACTAATAGGAGAATCAGTTACATGTTTTGGTATAACTAAAGGTATGTCTCTTAAAAGTATTAAGTATTAAAATCACAAATCATAGAAAATGTTTTTTATAAACAGCTTCAAATTGGCATTGATTTTTGGAGAATTAGATGTATTTTGTTGCTTAAATAGCAGCATGTACTTTCCTGAAATTACTCCTATAATTTGGCAGTGGAAACATTCTGGCATTATTTCTACATATAAAATATCCTTATTTGGGAACTAATCTTTAGGTTTGATACCGCACATAACATAATGTGAAGAACATCCAGGAGTGAGCCAACATGTAAAAGGGCAATCATGACTGAACACATGGAGGTGTTGGTAAAAACCCATTCTCATTTTAAAAAGTCTCTCAAGGGAATGTAGATAAAGCCACATGAGGTCATCACCCCACCATTGACCCATAGATAATCAAAACAGGAGATCTTGTGTATATTACTGGTGACTATAGATCTGTCTTATGAAGGTTTCTGTTGGGGTTGATGTTCCCTCAGAATGTCCGTAACTGGTGCTGTCTAATAGATTGACAGACAGACTTACTCTGTTAAACAGAGACTGTTCCTTCTACTCAATGTCACTGTGGATCCCAGATCCTAAAAAAAAACAAAAAAAAAAAAAAACACTTACGGTTCCAAATCTAGACAAATCTTTGCTCCCCTTATGTTAGATGTTTCTCCATCCAGTGGTCTGTAGAGGTAGACGAAATAATAGGCAGTGTACCACCATTCCAAGATAGATATTGTTTGTACACAGATTGCAGTTATATAGTCCAAATATTGAGATTTGCCAGAATTCCAGACCTCACTGTCCTAGACCTCTCCTCTGGATTCATGACATGGAACTCAGTCAGCTAGGCATAACATTTAGTGCCTTAACATGCTATCTCCTGTACCCTCTTTTTCCCCCTTACTCCTTTATTTTGCCCTCCTTTCTCTCAATCTCCTCTCACTCTCTCTGCATCTCTCTTACTCTGGGTTGAACGATGTTGGCTGCTCTGTCGTCTTTGCACTTTCCATTGCTGACAGTTATTGCAATTTTCTTATAGAAAATCTGTTTTTTGTTTTTTTTATGTATTTAGAAAAGCTTCCGATAAAACATTTTGTTAAAAGCACAAAGATTCTAAAACTTGATGTAGAAAACTTTATTTTATCACAAATATCAATACATAAAAATCCCAAGTTGAGGTTTACAGACTGTACACACATACAAAATTAAACAAAAATCTTACAAAAAAAAATATAAATCTAAATTGACCAACGTTTTAACAAATGATCCTGCTTTAATTTTTCACACAGAAGAAGATTAAAACATTAAGGTGGTACCTCTTTATTTCAACAAGATGACAATTTATCAAGAATACATTGACTTTTCTCGTTTTCAAGAACATTCTGAAGAGCAACAACACAAAGTAATGATATTTTTGAACTGGTGAAAAATGTGATATTTTCGGGAAGGTTACTCCATAAGCAGGTCTAGCTGCCTGATTGTAACACTAGTATTGAAAGTGAGAATTGTAATGGATGCTTACAAGTTCTCATTTTAATGTACTTCCTGAGTCATAGATGCGATAACCCATCTCAGCAGTACTCATTTTATCAAGTCCTTAAGGGCGAGAATCTAGATCATGGGTCCTCAAACTCTGGAACCACAGATGTTGCTGAACTACAACTCCCATGATTCTCTGGCTATCTATGTGATTCAAAGAATCATGAGAGTTGTCGTTCAGCAACATCTGGGGGGCCGGAGTTTGAGGACCCATGATCTAGACGGTGACCTGAAGCTAGTGCTAGATTAACAGAGACTATTGATTCATTGTGCGCCATGACCCATAAGACAGGCTGTGACCACTTTGAACCCTTGTTTTTTAACCCCTTAAGGACACATGAGTGACATGTCATGATTGCCTTTTATTCCAGAAGTTTGGTCCTTAAGGGGTTAAGCAAATTTCTCCTGCTTATGAAGGTGGATATTATATGCTTTAAATGGAAGTCAGGTACATGAGACCAGAAACTCAAATTGTATATTTAATTTTCAATGCCAGACACATGAAGTCCCTAATCCAGCATTGCTTGAAGATGGTGTAGGTTCTACGGCTTGTAAATTGCAGAACACTGATAGGAGATTATATTATGCATTAAGAGTTGCAGGCTTGCAGCTCATAATTTGGATATTTCTGAAAAATGTTTTATAAGCTAAGTAAAATAGGTTAAATGTACATCATATTTGGCTTTACATACAATGTGCATAATGCATGATTGTGTCCTCTCCATGAAAATTATAAATGTGTTATTTCATACATTTCTATATGTTAAAATGTACACACCGGTTAACACTCTAGTCTTGGTTAAGCCAATTTCAGCCAAAACATCAGAAGAGATCTTCAGATCGTGTCCATATCGAGTCCTATTCTGAGCTTGGTTGGTTGCTGTCCATTATTTAGTTGTAATGTACATTAGCCCCAAAAAGAAGGAAGTTCTGAAAAGAAAGACACATGTGGCCACTGTGTATATAGAGATCAGGAATGAAACATTAAGTTTTTGTTTAGAGAAAAGCTGTACCTCTGTGCTGCAGACATGTCCAGCCCTTGTGGCGTAGGCAAAGGAAACCAAAAAGAAAAGGAAGGCAACGCAACTAAACATACTGTGTGCACATCTGTGTTCTTCAAATAAACCTGCACAGTAGCTCCTTATTGTGCACAAAGCAAATCTAGTTGAGTTGCCTACCCATTTTTATTTCTGGTTAAATAGAAAAACGATATCAACACAATTATTATTGTTCTTGTTATCATGAAATGTACAACCAACAGCATAATAAAACAATCGACATGTGATGGAACAGTGGAACTCAAGGCTTGTGTACAAGTCCTTTTTACCTGCTGTGAATGAATAAAATTGCTGTTAATCTATGTCCAAATGTATCGATCAAGATGGGATTTATGCGATGGGGCATACATTAACAGGAACTTTATCTAGTCCACACAATAATGATGAAAATTTTCATATCCAGACAACTGTAGTTTCAGGTTAAAGGGACACTCCAGTGCCAGGAAAACAAATAGTTTTCCTGGCACTGCAGGTCCCCTCTCCCTCGTTGCTGAAGGGGTTAGAACTCCTTCAGTGACATACCTGAGACCAGCGCCGATGTTCCTTGGTGCTGGTTTAGGGTCTGCCCACGTTCCTCCCGCGCTGACGTCATCTGGCGGGGGAGACCTAATGCGCATGCGCGGCAATGTCATGCACGTGCATTAGGCATCTCCATAGGAAAGCATTGAAAATGCTTTCAATGCTTTCCTATGGGGATTTTAGCGACGTTGGAGGTCATCACATAGCGTGTGCTATAAACCAGGAAGTGCCCTCTAGTAGCTCTCTAGTAGAAAGTCACTAGAGGAGGAGATAACCCTGCAAGGTAATTATTACAGTTTATGAAAACTGCAATAATTACACTTGCAGGGTTAAGGGTAGTGAGAGGTGGCACCCAGACCACTCCAATGGGCAGAAGTGGTCTGGGTGCCTGGAGCGTCCCTTTAAACAGTGTTGGGTATTCATCATCAAAAAAAAGCCATGAACTAACCTGACTCTGTTGTAGGACAACATCCGTGAGCTGCACGTGATCCAGCAATGGCAATGGGTATCCTTTGGTCAGGATTGCTGGAGGGAAGATTAATTGAGAATTATAGTATGTTCAAAAAACACAAAAATATAATGCTTATACTAATTAGTAGAAGTGATAAAAATGCTATAATTTCATTTTTTATCTGGTAACATGATTTAGCTGTATCTGTGGTGGACACCTTTATGCTTGTAAGTGTTTTGACCACAAACATAACAGACCACTAAATTGAAAACAAGAAGGATGCTGGGAAATGGAATGAGAAGGTTCAAGTACTTCCTGGACTCTGACATTATCACCATAGCTCACTGGGATTCCGCTTTGTATTTATAATTTTTTGGACGTAGGGGTGTCATTGACTAAATATGTATTACACACTTTTTGGGGTTTCGTCACTAAATGAAGAGAATTAACAAAGTAATTTAAAAAAAAATGAAGGCAAGAAAATAGAAGAATTTAACCTAAAAAGTTAGTGTCAGTTTTATGAATTTAAAAGAAGAAAAACTACCACAACAAAAGGACATAGTCTTAAATTAGAGGGACAAGGGTTTAAAACTAATATCAACTAATATCAACTATACTCAGTAAAGTACTATATACTTTACTGAGAGGGTAGTGGATGCATGGAATAGCCTTCCAGCTGAAGTGGTAGAGGTTATCACAGTAAAGGAGTTTAAGCATGTGTGGGATAGGCATAAGGCCTATCCCTGGCCTATAAGATAAGGCTAGGGACTAATGAAAGTATTTAGAAAATTGGGCAGACTAGATGGGCCGAATGGTTCTTATCTGCCGTCACATTCTATGTTTCTATAATTTCCTGGTTTAATGAATAGCCTTACTTGTTAACGTTTGCACTCAATTTTACCCTTTCCATAATACTCTCTACATACCATTAACCTGGGGTAGGACGATATGTGAGATGTAATAATTCACAGCCACATTCAATAATGCCACCTAAAAACACACAAAAAGACAGACATTACTTACTGTAAATTTTGAGAGTTAAAGGGTTTACATTATTGTGTCTAAACGAGATGTTTACATTTTTGTAAATGGCACCTAGCTCATGTTTTGCCTTTTTTACTGTATTGCGGTTTATACATTTGTATTTAGATTGTGCTATGCTGCCTCCTACTGGCCTTTGCTGAAGAGTTAACTATTGGTTTGTACGACCTTGATTTTTTTGAAATTTTTTTTTACTATGTTTACTTGTTTTTTCCCCAAAAAGCTTGTACTGTAGTTTATATTTTTTGTGTTGACAAATTTTAAAAATTATAAACACACACCAATAATGTATATATAGATATATATCTTGAGAATAGTCTCAAGTCAAATGAAATGTTGACTATTTGGAACATGTTTATTTAATTGAAGAAGCTCTCATTTCTGTAGTTCTACTTACGAGCCATGTACCGCATGACGGGATAACACATGGAGTCTTCGAGTACAACTCGATGGAATGCTCAGATAACAGTGGCTATAATTTGTTCATGTTATTGCCCAGGGGTCAGCGGTCGGAGCCCTTTTTTTTTTTAACTTTATTTTTGTTCATTTTTCCACAACCAATGAACAGTTACACATACACATTTGCAAAACGATCACCTTGCATATTGTCACACAGCAACATTAACTTGGAAACCGCCAATGTTATCTGTACTGTGCACTTTTACTCTACAATTTGAAATGTACAGGAGAGACTATAAAAAAAAGTACACTGATTAAATAAACAAACACACTATATCACCCTTACTTTTAGAGCTAAGAAGATCATTGCCTCAGGGGTATTTGTGAATGGTCAGTTGTTAGTGTCCAGTACCATATTTCAGATTTCCTTGTAACACATGAGCCATTATCCTCTATTAAACTTAATCATCAGATTATTATTCATCAGATTATTTTTTTTAAACTGCCCAAGAACTTGTTCTCTAGTATGACAAGACATGAAGATATCCAGTAAACAAGAAGACTGATGTAGAGTTGAGGAGGGGGATTACAAGATGTTTTTATTCCACAATAGCCGAGTTCTAGTCATTGGTTCACAATACTCAGTTTTGGGCTTGTTTATTACCTTCTTGGTAAATAGATGCCATAAGCCGTTGCTAACAATAGCCAGGAGTTTGCAGTGGCTACTAATTACCACCAGGATTCCAACATTGTAGCTAAATGTTTGTAACCATCACTGAAAACAACTGTCGTTATACATACCAACTGTTCACATATTATACACTGCTCAAAAAAATAAAGGGAACACTTAAACAACACAATGTAACTCCAAGTCAATCACACTTCTGTGAAATCAAACTGTCCACTTAGGAAGCAACACTGAGTGACAATCAATTTCACATGCTGTTGTGCAAATGGGATAGACAACAGGTGGAAATTATAGGCAATTAGCAGGACACCCCCAATAAAGGAGTGGTTCTGCAGGTGGTGACCACAGACCACTTCTCAGTTCCTATTCCTATGCTTCCTGGCTGATGTTTTGGTCACTTTTGAATGCTGGCGTGCTTTCACTCTAGTGGTAGCATGAGACGGAGTCTACAACCCACACAAGTGGCTCAGGTAGTACAGCTCATCCAGGATGGCACATCAATGCGAGCTGTGGCAAGAAGGTTTGCTGTGTCTGTCAGCGTAGTGTCCAGAGCATGGAGGCGTTACCAGGAGACAGGCCAGTACATCAGGAGACGTGGAGGAGGCCGTAGGAGGGCAACAACCCAGCAGCAGGATGGCTACCTCCGCCTTTGTGCAAGGAGGAACAGGAGGAGCACTGCCAGAGCCTTGCAAAATGACCTCCAGCAGTGTGTCTGCTCAAACAGTCAGAAACAGACTCCATGAGGGTGGTATGAGGGCCCGACGTCCACAGGTGGGGGTTGTGCTTACAGCCCAACACAGTGCAGGACGTTTGGCATTTGCCAGAGAACACCAAGATTGGCAAATTCGCCACTGGTGCCCTCTACTCTTCACAGATGAAAGCAGGTTCACACTGAGCACATGTGACAGACGTGACAGAGTCTGGAGACGCCGTGGAGAACACTCTGCTGCCTGCAACATCCTCCAGCATGACCAATTTGGCAGTGGGTCAGTAATGGTGTGGTGTGGCATTTCTTTGGGGGGGCCACACATCTCTCCATGTGCTCGCCAGAGGTAGCCTGACTGCCATTAGGTACCGAGATGAGATCTTCAGACCCCTTGTGAGACCATATGCTGGTGCAGTTGGCCCTGGGTTCCTCCTAATGCAAGACAATGCTAGACCTCATGTGGCTGGAGTGTGTCAGCAGTTCCTGCAAGATGAAGGCATTGATGCTATGGACTGGCCCGCCCGTTCCCCAGACCTGAATCCAATTGAGCACATCTGGGACATCATGTCTCCCTCCATCCACCAACGTCACGTTGCAGAACAAACTGTCCAGGAATTGGCAGATGCTTTAGTCCAGTTCTGGGACTTCATCAGGAGCATGCACAGGCGTTGTAGGGAGGTCATACAGGCACGTGGAGGCCACACACACTACTGAGCCTCATTTTTACTTGTTTTAAGGACATTACATCAAAGTTGGATCAGCCTGTAGTGTGTTTTTCCACTTTAATTTTGAGTGTGACTCCAAATCCAGACCTCCATGGGTTGAAAAATTTGATTTCCATTTTTTAATTTGTGTGATTTTGTTGTCAGCACATTCAACTATGTAGAGAGTATTTCAGAAGAATATTTAATTCATTCGGATCTAGGATGTGTTATTTTTGTGTTCCCTTTATTTTTTTGAGCAGTGTATATTGCCGCTAATGCACGAAGACACATATTTGAGCATGATGTGCACTTTATCCTATGAGGCCAGTAGTGACTGGCTCGTAAAAGTCAGCAGCAAAATGTTTTGTTTCAATCAGATATATAGTG